TTTACTATAATAACCCTGGTTTATTTGTCTGTAGATGTCTATATTTCTACTTATGCATGCTGCCCTCTTTGGTCTTTATATTCAATTTTTTTTGTATTATTTTTATATTATATTTTTATTAGCATTTAACATTAAAGTAAAATTTTAATTTTTAAGTAAGTTTATGGTCTTTTGTCATTTTTATTCTCTAAAATAATTCATTATTTATATTGACATTTTTCCAGCTTTTTTTCAAGCAACACAAATGTTTGTAATAGTCGTAGTTTTTACTAGAATAACCCCGGTCTGTGTGTCTGTAGCTGTACATCTGGTTCAGGTACGGGGTCAGCGAGACACAGGGTCAAGAGGTCACGCCCTCATCAGTGCACATCCTGTGGAAATGGGGCAGAGGATGTCATTAAGACAGATTACTCTTGCGCATATGCTGGACTCGTTTACTCACACTGTTTTAGTAGCAGCTCACTGATGGGTTTGCATTAATTGTAAGTGCTTTTGCTAAATTAGGTTGTTTGCTGGATTATTTTAGTTCAGGAAGTCCACAGATCCGTTCACTTAACATTTCAAACCACATTTAATCAGCAGTTTCCCACAAGCAATTTATGCAAAGCAGCGAGTCTACAGTTTCCCCTGCTGCATAGCTGCATAGTTTATTCTAATGTAAGCAAAATATCTTTGACATTTACTGGATTGGCAGCAGAGAAGTCGTCTGTCATGTTTATCTTTATGTGGTTGTTGAGGTTTCCAGTGGAGCGTTTTGCAGGAAAACTGTGGATGATTTATGTGTTTGGAGAAAAAAAAAGGATTGTACGGGGAGTAGAGATGCTCCAAACCGGGATAAAAACAGATCTGCATTGAAAATTGCTTTCCCAGAGTGACACAAACAGGTGCATTTTGTGTTGATCCAATATTGCTGATGCAATTTATGAGAGTTATTTGTATTGTTTTGACAGTGTTTTCATTTTACAAAGTAAAAATAACTAGGAAATCATTGGCTAGCATCCTTATTTTTTTTTCAAAAAGGTACTGTATTTATGTATTAAGATGGTAATTGACCAAAAATGCAGTATTACCATGGTAAAATGTCAAAAAATTTTTTACTTTGAGGTACTTTCTTGTAATGTACCCTAATATAAACCCTATATAATATGCATTTTGTGCCTCATATACACTGTAAAAATTATTTTTTGAAGTGGCAGCTGAAGTTGAAGGACTAAAATTACTAGCTGGAAATAAATAAAAACTCAAACTAAAATAAAAATAAATACTTTAAATTTTTTTTATTTTTTATTTTTAGAAATAATATTACTAAAAAATAAATTTTTTTTAAAATATTAATAAAAACTGTAATAGTACATAAATTATACTGCAATGAATAAACACTGAAACAGACAAACCACATTATCAAATAAACAGCGTATATAAAAAAAAAAAAAAATCTATTCATGTATATATATACATATATTAAGTTCATTTTAAATATACCTTAAATATAATTTTTTAAAATATATTTTTATATATATGTAGTACAAATAAAATAATATTTTATTATTAATATTTTTAGAAAAGCATATTGCAAATTATTTTTATATTATTATTATTTTTAAATAAAATATAAATTAATTCAACTTTTTTTCAAATTTTCTAAGATTTATATTTAGTTTTAGTGATTTTACCAAACCCTTATCTAAGTATTACACAAAAGCGAAGAAATACACCGATTCACCGGCTTTCTGACAAGATGCGCGTTAAATATCGCATGCGATTTATCGTGCAGCCCTAAGCAATAACTGTCCTACATAAGTATGCTGTGATCACTGATATGCTTTGTTTTGCATGCTTTAAAGTATTTTTCTATCTCAGTATCTCATTATTGAGGATCTGCTGGGTGGGAGTGAATCCTGCAATGTCAGATGACTTCCTTTATCCCAGATGACACGAGGAAGATGATAAGATCGCTGATACACACAAGAACAAGGCCTCTTTAGTGTCACTCCACGTCTGCGAGGATCCTTCACCCCGTGACTTTTTGCTTGAAATATGCTCGCTTTATTTGATAATCCCTATTTTATGTATCTTCCTTTTTGTTTTCACACATCCGCCCTGATCTGGCGCGTCTCGTGCAGCGTCTGTCTGCTTCTGTCACGCAAGCGTATTTGTTTTGACTGACTTGGATACACCTTGAAGCGCTGCTCTGGAGTCAGCCGTAACCCTTCGTTATCTCACCTGAGATACACACGGCTGATTCTGGGTCAGCTAGTGCTGTATTGTGTGTTACTACAGGGTTATATTAGTCTTCTGGCACCGAGCGCTGTGTTGTTGAGTGCCAGGAGTCTCATAATTGTGGGATTGTGTGCTTCGGCTGTCACCACATGAACTGCTGCTGCTTTTCAAGGCTTGAACTCACATTCCTGTTACACAAGTTGCTGTTTGTCTCTTGGACGGCCTCAACGCTGCCATTACAGTCAACTTCAGATGTTGAATTCATGTAATGTCACATTCATTTTCTAAACTGTCTCCTGTTCTCTTTCTCTGCAGGGAACGCAGTTTTCCAGCGCCGACGAGAGCGGCCGCAAACTCGGAGTCACGTTTCGATACGACAGTAAGACACTTTATTATCAGACCTGTCTCTAACTATACAGTTAATAATCTTATTTTGCACAAAGAAAACAAAGTTGTGATGTTAATTTAAAATTCTCATAAACTGCATCATGCATCTGGATGCTTTCCTTCTCAAATCACAAAACAAACTCTTATAATACAAACTCTCAAAATATTATTTTTACAAAAATATATATATATATATATATATATAAATTAAAAATAAAAGCATAATAAACTAAATTTGGTGTGAATTAAAATAAAAGTAATCAACTGAAAAAGGCAGTACACATACTACATTAATGCATCAATACTTTACAATTTAAATAATATATCATTATTTATTTTGCATAATGGTAATAAGAATTGTTTGGAAAAATTATTATTTTTTAAATTAGTTTTATTTAAATCAGGATGAATAAAATAAAAATAAAAATATAATCAACTGAAAAAGGCAGTACACATACTACTTTGATTTATTAGTACTTTACAATTTAAGTAAAATATCATCATTTATTTTGCATTATGATAATGAAAATTGTTTGGGAAAATTTCCCCAATTAAATCAGCATTAATTAAAATGAACAAAAACATAAAATAAAAAAGGCACTGTTATACTACTGTAATACTACACTGATGCATCAATACTTTACAACTTAAATAATATAATAATTATTTATTTTGCATTATGGTAATAAGAATTGTTTAGGAAAATATTTAAAAAAAAATTTTTTTAAATCAGCATACATTAAAACAAACAAAAGAGTAAATTAAAAAGAGGCAGTACACATACTACATTAATGCATCAACACTTTGCAATTTAAATAAAATTTGATTAATTATTTTGCATTTTGATAATTGTTTGAGAAAATTAAAAATATATATATTTTTATTTAAATCAGCACAAATTAAAATAAAAAAAAACTAAAGAAAGGCAGTACACACTATATTGATGCATCAATACTTTACAATTTAAATAATATATCATTATTTATTTTGCATTATGGTAAGGAAAATTGTTTGGAAACATTATTGTAATTTTCTATTAAAAATTATTTTTATTTAAATAAGCTAAAATTAAACAAAAAAAGAAAATTGGTGCTTAATTTTCACTAAAACAATGTCACAAAAGAAATCTTAATTTTCTTTAAATGTAGTGTTTGTCATATTTTTTGACGTTGCAGTATTTCGTCTCAAAACATCACAGCATTGCTGAGTTTATTTGAGCAACATTGGTTCAACCAATGCCGTGAGTTTGGGGCGGGACTATCTGTTTGCCAGCCAATAGAAAGCAGGGAAGGGTATTTAGGCAACCTGTTTGAAAACAGTCATTATTGTTCCATTCGGTGATGCTAGAGGCAAAGAAATGACACTCTCTGCATTTAAAGCAATGTATTCTTTTATCTATATGTTATATAAAGTGATTTTTGGTGTGAAATATGACTCGGGAATGTTATTTGTATGATTCACCCTAATTGATTCTCTCTGCTTGGCTTAATATAGCATTTATTCTCTTGTTAATGCCAAATGTTGTTTCAGTCAAGCTCTTGTCCGCCCCTTAAGTGCTGAAAAGTCAAGTTTCTCATCCTGTAGCTAATCCCGGTTTCTCCTCGGCATTCAATCCCCATTGTGTGTGACTACGAACAGGAACGGGCCTGATTCTGGTTAGCATCACAATAGGGATTGCGTAAAAAAAAAAGAGCGACGGGGTGTGAGGGACACAAACGACTGCTCCTCTTCCTATACCTGCTTATCTGCAGCCGCTGAGGAGAACGAAACAAGTGAAAAAAAGAAAGAAGGAAGGAAGGGGGAGGGAAAGAGCGTCTCCTCGCATGGTTGCATATTTACTCTCGCCACTTGCCAAAGAATCTCACCGATGTTCTCACTGGGAAACACTGCCTGACTTTCTGTTTCACTCACTCTCTCTCTCTCTCTCTCTCTTTGTGTTCCTGCTCTTTCTGTCCCAATTAGACTGCTCTCTGAACTGGAATCCGCTGGGCAAACACGCCATCCATGAAGTGAACAACATCACCTACAGTCATTTGTCTTGTGACAGCCAGGCAGCCGTGGTGGTCCACTGGATGGCCAGCCCTCTCGGTAGGTTTCTTCTCAGCTGTGTTGGAGAAACTACATTGAAACTACATTTCAGTTTCTGGCCCAGTGGAGTCCCAATGGGGCGGGACTATCTTTTAGTAGACAGGCCGTTTTCAGTCTACCCTTTTGCAAAAGTAGTTAACAACAGTAATACAGATTAGATCATTTTTGTCCAAAAAAAGACATGACGTAATCACAAAGAGGTTCACATTTAGGGTGACATCAGACTTTATTATCAAACAGATTCACATAAAATGCTACCAAGAATTCTGTATTAGTTGCATTTAGTTTAATTTTGTCAGATAATAAAGACGGGTATGCATATGTGTGTGTGTGTGTGTGTATGTATATGTATATGTATATATGAATGTACATCGAATTACACTAAATGCAAATAATATATGCAAAAAAAAATTATGTCTGTCTGTACATGTATGAATGCTTATGTTTGCATATTTATTAATATATATATATATATACAGTATATATATTATTAGTTGCATTTAGTGTAATTTGTTAGATTATATATTTACATTAATATATATTTGTTTTTTGCATTTTTATTTTCTATTTCTATTTTC